AGGTAAGCGAAGCAAATATATACGCAACAACCAAAGTTCACTAAAAAAATAAATAAAGATAAATTGACTAATTCCAATAGAAAAAACAAAAACATTTAAATGATTTATTTTCTAATCGACTCTACAAATCTCTTAAGTAACTAACTGTTTTGGAAATAGAAAACATTTTAAGTTTAAAGACTAAATATATATATACTCATAACACTGAAAGTGTCTACGGTTGGAGTTTTGCAGGAACTCACAATTTAATATCTTAAGTCTCTACCAGAAGGAATTTTGTAACAAAAAATAGAACACTTACAAAAATTGTCTTTATTAGTTACACCAATCAGAAATCAGCTAAAGGCTGATAACAACCCTGGGCTCCTATGTGAATGTCATAGTAATGGTTCTACAAATTGTAACTCTCTGTTCAGCAGAGCTGAACAAACTCATGAGAACAAGGATGCGAGTTGACTTTAAAAGAAAACCAAAAGTCTTGATGTTTACTTGAGTGTAATAATCTTGTATTTCAGACAGAGAATGGTTTAACTGAGGTTATGAGTACTCTATTAGTATGACTATGAGGGAAATATATACCAAAATAGTCAACACAACGATGATGATAAGACGAATTAATGACATTTATGATTTAGACAAGGTTATTCTATGTATATACTACGTCAATGACCAGTAATACTTTTCGACAGTATAGCTACATTTACAATAGTTTACTTTATACAAATAAAGAAAATTCTAGAAAACAGATTAAGCTATATGTTTAATCAAACCAGATACAAATAGTATTAGGCCTAGCATTGCTCAATGATTAGCGTGCCGAACTGCGGATCTGCATGTCCATGTTCGCGCCCCGTTATCGCAAAAAAAAATGTCACTCCGCACTTAGGAGTTGTGGGTGAGTTGAAGCGATGATGGTCAAATCTCTCTATTCGATTAGACAAGAGTTAATTGTGGGTTCTGTTCATCAGCCGACTTCTCTTCTTTGCGAGAATATCCAAAAAAAAAAAGAAAGAAATTATGTTGTTCTAACGGTTGCCGCTGATACACCGTTTTTTTTTTTTGATTATTTGGTGAAAAGAAAAACTCGTAGTACAGTCCACTTAATGATAATCAAAGCATTATATTTTTTGATCTTCAAGATCTACAAGTTGGCTGTGCTAATGTTCCCTAATAGGAATATGTTCACAGTGTTAAGATAGACGCTAATACATCACTTGTTAATTTTCTCTTGCACACACGGCACTTTTTCGCATATTTAATACTCGTTGAAATACAAGCCCAATATTCACAAACTTGAAGTAAGAGGTTAACAAAATCAAATCTCAGTTCTAGTCTAACTTGAAGTTTATAACGTTCAAGTCGTTTTCTACACTGACAAGAAAATTTTCGTCATTAAACTACGCTCTCATTATGTGTCGTAAAAGACTCCCTCTATCCAAAAACACGAACACCTAAATCAGAAAAAAAAACAAAAAAAAACAGCCTACATCAATAATATTAAAAGATATATATTTGCCCTTCAGATCCAGAAATTTCACCAACAGTAGCCTAACAGAAAATTC